CGATGACTTCCTTTTCTTCAGGTCATGGCGAATACGAAGAATTCAACATAGGAGAGTTCGTGAATGTAACTGGTCATATGATGTTCGCCTATGGAGATGGTCCTGAAGCGCTCGATGAAACTAGACTATTCGTTCTTGACATCGTACGTCATCAAATGAACATGCTTTTACGTCGGGTATGGCATCAAATGGTACAAAACCATCAGAGGTACTTCATTTCCAACTTAATTTCGAGTTAGATGACGGAAATAAGTGGTTTTGCCTATTTCCATTCTTTTCAGAAAAGTTTTCACATATGTCAACATATTTGGCTTGTATAAAAATCATCCAATCCGATTACGTAGCGCCAGGCTCGTAAGATATCCGTGGTGAGCTTTTTGAAAGATAATACTATTACATTACTGTTGCAACTATACGGAATTAATCAGAGCATTCATTATGATGCTAAGATGTTCAAGACCCATTAGCCACGGAGGAGGAATAGAAAAGAATTGCTATCTGAAACCGCATCAAAGTACTTGCAACCAGTCCTCTCAAACCTTTAAAGACAGCGCCCGCGATGGACTTTGGCAGGTCTCAGGGGTCAAATTTGTTAGAACAGGTGGCCAATTAAGCACTAATCAAAAAAAGTAGGAAAAAGGTGTGGAAGAGCGTGAAATAAGACCCTACGAAATTTAAGGCATGTGGACGAGTTTCGCAGACCTTTGGTGAGTTCTCCAATACACGTCGCGGCCTCGGAACACCAGAAACTTAGCGTTTATCAATGCCAGCAAGCACTGATAACTGTTAACCAGTCGGGGCGGGATTAACAGGAAAGGAGGCGTCAGCTCAGCCTTGTTGACTCCGCCCTCGTCAACCAATCGATTTCGAGCCGCAAGAGTGGGATTTCCGCTGTGGTTGCGTACTCCGCGTTCGTTTTCATTGGAGGGTTTTTTCACTTTGGTTGATCGCGGACGCTGCCTTTAAGGACGCGTCCCTGTTGCTTGGTGTGCGGGCGTTTCAGGGGACAGGGGAAGGGGTTTGCTATTGGACGTGCGACAAGCGTTACTTTTCTCCCACCAATTCAGGGTCGGCACTGCAGTTTCCATTTCGGCTGGTGGCTCTGTAAAAGTTTATCTTTCAGTCAGAGCTACTCTGCAGGAACAATCGTCGTTAAGACGCCACATGCTTTACCGTGTAATGGTCGATCAGGGACGGAAACGTGGTCAAAATTATTTCGAGAATAGAATGGATATCAACGAAACCGGGTCTACGGAGGTGTTGTGCTTGAAAAAACGGTAAGAAAAGCTTGAATTACAGAACTGTGATCTTTTTCTCTATTGCCTTCTATATATAACTGTACGCGAAGAAAAGTAAAATAAAAAGCAAGCCGTGGCTCCTGAATAAAGTATATGTAAGTTCCCGCGTTCATAGTTGCGTTTGTGGATTGGAGTATTTCGCGCTTCCTTCAGAAAGAAGACGGGCGTTCACACTAATCGGCGACGGTAGCGCTTGGGTCGTCAGGCGATTGACGCTGTTGAAAAGCAATGCGCCGACTCGAAAAGCGCGCACCGAGCGCTGCCTAGCGAAGTCTGAACGCTAAGCGAATGGAAATCTGCTCATCATCAATAGGGAATCGCAACGTTTCGGAAAATGCCCGAAATACGAGAGAAAATTCGAAATGAATAGATGGATATGATCGAACTAAGCCGCAGTACCGACTCGCGCGTTATTCCGATTCGCGTATCCTGCAGAAATGCAGATTCGCCTGATAGATACATTCCATATCCCAGACATGGAGAAGGCGTTTCTGCGTACTTCACATACAGGTTGCCGCAGCTGCGCCTGGTGAAACACCGCCCCTTCGTGACGATCGTAACCATGACTTCACCCAGCACAAGGCAGGATAGCCGTTGTCTCAAGTTGAAGTACCCCATGAAAAGGCAGCCTACTCGAGAACCAAGGGCCACGTCCTCTGCATCTCTCCAGGTTATGAAGTCTTTGGCGCGCTCTCTCCCGAATAAGACTTAGCTTTTCTTTAAAATCCTGGCTCGATGTACCAGTACCAGCACAGTTCATCCAAAATAAATTTGAGCTAAAGCGAATTTTAAACGAAGTTAGAATTCAGAGGAATTGCAAGACTTTGAACAGCAGAAGGATTATCAATTTCAATTTCAAACCATTCTTTTCTTCAGTTTATCAGAATTTCAGCGAAACGATTGACTTATTCAGGGCCCCACACATCTACTACGCCCTAATCGATGCTGGATTCGAAAATCAATTAGCATTCCTCTGCGAAGAGCGCCGTATACAGGAATGTGATCCGAATCTTGCTAAAATCAAAATGTTCCTCAAGAAACGATATCGTCTCTTATCCGCTGAACATAAAGAACTTCTCGATTACGCCAGACGTGTTTCGTACTTGTAGTCGAACAGGAAGACTGTGAGTTTAGCCCTCGATTTTAAGCAATAAAGACAGAAGAGCACTATTCTGTTAAGGTCCGCATTCCGTGCTCATCGCTTCCATGAATTTCTGGGATTTCCTGACTTACAGACGGATCTCATCTATATACTCGACTTTTTGGCCAGAGAAATAGTAATGGAGGTAATAATAAGTTCCAGCGAGTCAATATTCATCGCTAAATCCCACAAGCTCACATTTGGGAAATTCCACATGTTCAGGTCACCTATCGTGCTGCTCAAGCACGTCAGGTTGAGCAGGAAAAACTTCTCACAACTCCCAGTTCCATGAAGCAACCATCTTCGAAGAAAAAACTAGCCATTGAAAGCCTTGAGCTTTGCTATTATGAGGAAAGGGCTGGCGTACTTTGCAGTGGATGGTCGAAAAAAATCGTAGTACTTCCAAGGCCAGTTTCATAATCCCACATTTTTCATGACGACATTTCCCAGAAGACATTCTTTCGGCGAGAGCAGAACAAAGTAGTAAACGTTAACTTATGGTAAGAATCCATGGAAATGGGAAAGTGATCACGATTATAACAAAAGGGAAATGGCTGAGCGACGTGAACTTGAAGAACAGGGACCTTGGCCGAGGTAGGGAAGGACATTGTTTTTCAGTACTTATTTATTTCTTGGCAGCGTCAAAACGCGCGTAACACGAGTGGGCAAACCCGGCGTGGCAGGCCTCCAATTGGATACCATAGGCGCACAGATCTGGATAACTAAACGACGACGATATGCTGGAACACTAGAAACTGAGAAAGAAGCACAGCGTCAGCCCGTTGAGCCAAATGCTCATTCGCAAGATTGGCAAGTCGCTAAGTAACAGTTATTTCGTTTGAGTCCATGTGGGGCGTGTCAGTGGTGGGCAAGGGTTTCGCGTTGCGCTCCAGTCGCGTTTTCCAGCAGAAGAGGGAGCAAAAGGATACATGCCCAACCCAGGCGATGCCGACAACGCACCGCGACTAACATAGGTGAGAACGATTGTGTTGCACGTTAAGGAAGTTTTCTCAAGATGGAGAAAAGGGGAAGTTAAGAGAAGGGAGTTTGGTAGGATTGCTGTCGTCAATCCCTACGCCTTAACACAATTAAGGCTACACCTTGCAAAAGTTATTGCCACAGGCCTGTATTATTCAGCCACGCTCAAATGAGCATTGCTGGTTTTGTATTCAGTAACTGTGGAAGTAACCATACGTTTTTCAGCCGCTTCGCCTATGTCTCGTCGGCTGAACTCTTTGAAGAACACAAAAAGGTACTACGAGGCGAGTATTGGGACAGCTGCCCGGAGGATCTACGAAGGAGGCATTCGCCGTTGGCCGAATGCTATGCAGGCCCGCACGTCAATCCCATATAAACCTACCAGAGCCACAAGTTCCTACCAAATGGCAACAGCAGAACATCGAAAGCAATGAGAAGGAACACGAACGTTTGAAGAACACACCCCCGGAATGCCCCCCCGGCACTCCTGGAATCGAATAGTCAGAGTGAACTGGAAAAACGCCTGACGAATCAGTTAGTCAAGATGATGGCAGAGAATAACATTGACGATACAGCATCGGTTGCCGAAACTGATGGTCATACTAACTTGGAAAAAATGACAAAACTTATTGGAGCGGTGGTACGAAAACATCAAAGTATCACTAATGCTTGAATGGCTCGAGTGCAGTGCTCTGCTCTCACAGCGAGTTTTTGTTATATCAGCGAGATTTTGTTATATTGATTACTACTTTCATTCTAATTTATGCTGCTATAATTAACATGGGTAACCCGGGTAATCTAAATATGTAAATAGTTTTAGTTTAGGATATCACTTGCCACATTGTCATAAATGCTGGGGGTCATATTTGATGTGTCATATGCCATACTGTCATAATAATTTGTCATACTTAATGTGTCATATTTAGTGCTTTATATGAGAATTCGTAATACTGGTTTTAATCTATTGAGTTTAATAAACATGCCATTCCTCTGTAAATCAAACAAATTTTGACGCTGTTCGGTGGTTTGTGGGGGGGGCAAGGGGGGGGGAGGTTGAGCTTCGGGTTGTAATCATATCAAACTCATTGTTTTCAAGGATCTCTATCTGAAACCAGTAACTCTCATTCCTACGACTGACCTGTAATAGACATCCTTTTTCGGGAACGAAAAGTCCCAGGCGCTGAGCTGTTGACCTGATAGAACCACATCAGCCGCAGTCAGCACTTTCTGATATATGCAGCGATTGTCACGACGTACTGACAGGATAAACTGGTTAGCCTAAAAAGTCATTTTGTAGTCATTTGCATACATTCAGACCTTCCCATTGGGAGCAAGCTTGGCACACAGAAGACGAAACAAGTCTGAAAATTACTTGCATTGTTACCTGGTATGTGGTTACCAGTTTGATCCCGTGGTCGACGCAAAATGAGCACCAAAAAAGAAAGCCAGCTTGAAGTACCAATAAGTCTAACAGGCTTTTTACGAATCAGCTAGAGAATCTGGCTAAGGGAAGGCTCGTTCCTTCAACTAGGAAAATCCACTGGGCTACTCTGGCTCGTTAAGGGCCAAATGGAACCTTTACTGAGGCCCAATCGACTCAGTGATCAGTAGGACGAAGAGGATGCAAACTATCTCTTGTCTTGAAGTACTCATTCAAATGACCAAGCTGTGAAAACAATAAATCGCTCAGTGGACGTAACTAGTCGCTGGAGAAGAGGGGTTCATCTTTTTCCTAGGGTATTTTTTTGTTGTTGACTTGTCCGAGTTTCTGAACAGTTGATCTTAATCGTAAGTGTACGCCCCCCCTGATCTACAGCAAAATTTTGGAAGAGTTTGGAAAAATGTTTGGTCGGGTTGTTGGAAGGAGGCCACCAGAAAACGCAAACAATAAAGTGACTGATGGATCGAGCATAGAAGCGAATTTCAGTAAACGACTGCAACAAGTGAAATCCGAAGAAAATTCGCTTTAGGTAAAAATTGGTTTCGCTGCCTCTAGTGAAAGTCGAAACATGGTCTACTGAGAGCCAACTAGTCAAAGATTAGTGCCCGCAAACCCTGCCTATTCGGAAAAAGCATTTCCTGAACAGTTGCTTTACGTCGAGAAGGTAAAAAACTTCGTCCTCCAGTGAAAGTCGAAACTTGGTCTACTGAGAGCCAACCAGTCAAAGATTAGTGCCCGCAAACCCTGCCTATTCGGAAAAAGCATTTCCTGAACAGTTTATTCATTGTGTTTTTCTGAATGAACCATGAAAAAAGGAGGGGGGGGAAGGCTAAGGTAGGTATTGTGCTCAGTTTTTATGCTTACCACAAAGGCATTACCTTAAATCCGACTTGAAGGCTAAGCATAGCGCACATGAAAAAAAATATAGCAACGCTTGGCTTCCACCGTATCCGCATAATCTGATTTGGGGAAAAGTTCAGGGAGCTGGCCACTCTAATTGAGACTTCGGAACCTGAACATATTGCCACAATAAAATAGGGACAGTAGGGACAAGTAGCATAGAGCTTTGATTAGTGCGCAGAACAATATCTCCTGCATGGTGTTTCGAGACAGTTACTGAATCATTTGCTTCGTTTGATTAAAAATAATAAGTTCGGAAAAGCCCTCATTATTTGGTATGGGCATTAAATAAGGGGGTCGCAAAGTCTCAGTTTGATTTCTGTTAAGCGACTTTTTTTGTTTGTTCGACTTCGACCTGAAAGATAAGGATATCGCGTTGTTGTGTAGTAGGCGACGAAGAAGTGATAAGGGTGAATTTTTTACCAAAATAGATCGGGTCGATCAATTAATGAAAATGAGTTGGGAAACACCATGCAGAGAAATTTCGCGCACAATCAAAGCGCTATGCTACCTTGTCCCTACTGTCCCTATTTTATTGTGGCAATATGTTCAGGTTCCGAAGTCTCAATTAGAGTGGCCAGCTCCCTGAACTTTTCCCCAAATCAGATTATGCGGATACGGTGGAAGCCAAGCGTTGCTATATTTTTTTTCATGTGCGCTATGCTTAGCCTTCAAGTCGGATTTAAGGTAATGCCTTTGTGGTAAGCATAAAAACTGAGCACAATACCTACCTTAGCCTTCCCCCCTCCTTTTCATGGTTCATTCAGAAAAAACAATGAATAACTGTTCAGGAAATGCTTTTTCCGAATAGGCAGGGTTTGCGGGCACTAATCTTTGACTGGTTGGCTCTCAGTAGACCAAGTTTCGACTTTCACTGGAGGACCAAGTTTTTTACCTTCTCGACGTAAAGCGAAGCTTTCTTCGGATTTCACTCTGTGCAGTCGTTTACTGAAATTCGCTTCTATGCTCGATCCATCAGTCACTTTATTGTTTGCGTTTCTGGTGGCCTCCTCCAACAACCCGACCAAACATTTTTCCAAACTCTTCCAAAATTTTGCTGTAGATCAGGGGGGGGGGGCGTACACTTACGATTAAGATCAACTGTTCAGAAACTCGGACAAGTCAACAACAAAAAATACCCTAGGAAAAAGATGAACCTTTCTCCTACAGCGACCAGTTACGTCCACTGAGCGATGGTCTGAATGTATGCAAATGACTACAAAATGACTTTTTAGGCTAACCAGTTTATCCTGTCAGTACGTCGTGACAATCGCTGCATATATCAGAAAGTGCTGACTGCGGCTGATGTGGTTCTATCAGGTCAACAGCTCAGCGCCTGGGACTTTTCGTTCCCGAAAAAGGATGTCTATTACAGGTCAGTCGTAGGAATTACTGGTTTCAGATGCAATTCTTACT